TCACAAGCCCTCGCGCCTTCTGAGAAGTTCTTCTTCGGGGAAAGCTTAGAAAACTTCTCGGAAGGCCGGGGGACTTCCAAACCTTCTGAGAAGGCCTTCTCCGTCTCACTCCCCCCCCTCGCTCGCCGCCGAAATACACTGGCCCTCCATTGTCTCCCGTGACAACAAGCAGCGTCCGGTCCCACATGTTCCTTCGTCTGAGCGCCGCGGTTATGTTTCCGAGCGACTCGTCCCAGAAGCTCACCATGCCCGCGTACAGACGGCGGTCGCGGTACCAATGCTCAGGATAGCGGGCTGCATACGAAGCTGGCACTTGCAGCGGCGTGTGGCACTGCTGCATTGAAACATACAGAAACAATGGCGTCAACGGGTCATGCTCCGCAATGACAGATACCGCGCGACGCGTAAAAAGAAAGCCTCCGTAATCTGTGCCAGCCAGTGTGCTGGCTGGACGGTCAGTGTCCCAAAGGTCCCTGAGTTGGTGCGGGTCCTCATCTGGCTGGATGCAGACGCTGTCAATACATTGTGTCTGCCGCTCCCCATCCTCCGCACCCCCGAAATAGTGCAGAGAAGTATCGAAGCCACGCTGCTGTGGGATCTGCTGCCAGTACGCTACGCCGAGATGCCACTTGCCCACCATGTGAGTCGCATAGCCAGCGCTCTTGAGCTTTGCCGGGATCCATGTCATGTTCTTCGGCACGTTATCGCCAGTGCCGACGTTAATCTGGTTCACGTGGAAGGGAAGCCGACCAGACATGAGGCTAGCTCGCGAAGGGCTGCAGTAGTGGTACGTGTAGTGACGGTCCAGCTCCACGCCTTGCGCGACGAGGGCATCGGCATGCGGGGTGCTCATCTCCGCGTTGTGCCAGCCCACGTTGTGCCATCCGAGATCGTCCACGAGGAAGACCACGATTTCGGGAGGCCCGGAGGTCGGCCCAAACACCAACATCGGCGACTGCCTCCACCGAGGGCAGATGATCACGATCCTGGTGAAAGTGGTAACGGTCAAGCTTCTTGAGCGGCCGAAAGTCTACCAACAGCACCAAGACCAAGGATCATCTTTCCCCAGAGGACGAGTTGAGACAACGACAGCTCAAGTTCGGTCCCTGAACCCTTCCGCTGGTCCAAACGCACCGATTTTCCGAGCCCCAAGAAGGCCAGCTACCGCTGTCTACCGCAACATCGCAAAGAATCACGACCAGAGCCCTAGACCCTAGACCCAACCTCTCTGCTGCATCGAACCGAATCGAGCCGCCCGCTGGGCAATCGCAACGCCCAGATCTCAAGGGACACGACCCCCTGTGCCCGTGCTGGTGCCGACCTCCAGGCCTCCGAGCTGTGAGGCCGCGGCGCTGGCTGCAGCGGGGCAGCCTGAACCACGGGACCCGGCCCCCCCCCTGCAGGCCTGCAGCCTCTCCCTTCGCCCAGGCCCCTGGCGTGCCACGGCGTCCTCACAGCGTGGATCCCTGCGTCGGGGAGCTAATGCCCCGGGCCAATCCAGACCCGGGTGGCCAGTCAGGCCTGGCAGGATCCTGCCAGGTCCTGGCAGGATCCTGCACCCAGAGCCCGGGTCATTGCAGCCCTGGCTCTGCAGGGTCCTGCAAAATCCGGCGCTCTGACTGAACCCCGTGCGCAGTGGTCTGGACCCTCCCGGGGACCGGCCTTTCATCCTGAGTCTTGTGTCCCTGCAGGGGTCCGACGTGGCAACAAAAACTGCAACCTCGCGAAGCATCGCGGCCAGAGCCCTCGCCCCATCATTCTGCGCCCCTTCTCGGGCCGGGTCGACCTGTGAGGGTCCTGGGGCCCGAAGCTCGGCGACAGAGGCCAGGGGTGCAAAGAGTGCAGCTCCCGGATCTCAAGGTTTGACCATCCCCCGCGGCCCGGGGAGAGCTCCCCGAAGCCACAGATAGCGAACAGCCTTCCGTCGTGGCTTCTGAAGAGAATAGTTGAATCATCGTGTTGGGAGGAAGGGGAGGAAGCATGAAGGGTAGGAGCGAAAGCATCCGGATGCAGTGAACGACACCTTCGGGCGCCTACTGGTGAGGATGTCCTCATGTCTCCCAACCCCATCCTCCCAACCCGATCAGCCTCCAGCAGTAGAATAAGAAACACGGCATAAACATACACTTGAGGCGCTCTGCGCGGATTTCTTGGATCTGCGCTGGACCCCGCTCCCTGGCACACGGAGCGCGCCAGGGGCGGCGCCAGAGGCGCCACCGGGGGGGCCCAGCGCGGATCCAAGAACTCCGCGCGGAGCACCAAAAGTTTATGTTTATGCCGCTTGTCTTCTTCTTCAAAACATGTGACCGCAATAGAAGGTCGTCTTGGTTTCGAGCCAAGCATGTCGGTCACACCCGGACGCTGTTCGGAGCTTTTCGCGGGCGCAGATTCCGGCCACGCCCGGGCTGACTCTCGGGCACGGCTTCGGCCTCGACGCCTCCCTGATGTATAGAGGCGAGGCTGCGAGACGACGCCTCCCTGAGAGAGACGCGCCGTCCTTCTGTTTAGGACCTTCCGGCCCGGAGAATTGCCCCCTGAGTTGAGCAGGGACCGACCGTCCCGGCATTTCTATAGGCCTATACCACGACATGTTCTTAGAACCCAAACATGTTCTGAGAACGAGAACAACGTTCTTAGAACACAAACCCGATGTGCTAGAACAAGACTCCCCGGCCAGAAATGTTCCGAGAACACCTCGCGCAGACCACAGCAAATTCCTTCGCCACTGCTTCACTGAATGTTTCTTCTTTGGACGCCCGAAATGGGTACGGAAAGGATGGGTACAATGCCCAACAACGAATGTTGCCCCAAACCAACAGCGGCCGCTGTTGGGCAGGCGGCCTTCTGTCTCGAATGTACACAGGCCGCGGCGGCGTGGACAGCGAGTCCTGTTCAAAATGAACAGGAGCTGCTGTTGAGCACTGTACCCACTCTTTCCGTGCCCATTTCGTGCGTACAGATCTTCACGCCGCGCGGCGGCCTGCGCCCGGCCGAGGCCGAGGCCGCCCGCCTGCAGCGCCGCGCACAGGCGCCACCGCGCCCGGGCGGCGCCGCGCCGCCGCGGGGGCGCGCGTGCCCGCGGCGCGGAGCGCGGCCGCGCGGACATGCGGCGCCCTCGCCTTAGAGCCGCGGGCGCTCGCGGCGGCCGCTTCGGGCCGCCGCGGGCACGAGCGCAGCAGAGCGGCTCGGCGAGCACGGGGCACGAGCCGGAGACAGCTCGAGCCACCTGAGCGCGAGAGAGAGAGAGAGAGAGCGAGCGAACGAGAGAGGGATGCGAAGTAGGCGGAGTGCCTCTTCGGGATGGGTAGGGCCTTCGGCCACCGCGCCGCCCACTCCCTCTCCTCCTCCTCCTCCTCCTCCTCCTCCTCCTTCTCCTCCTCCTCCTCGCCCTCCTCGCCCTCGTCCTTCTGATAATCACGCTGTGCGATTTTGCTGCGCAAGCCACATTTGCCGCGCGCGGGCTCGCCCAGTGCAGGCTGGCCTGCGCGCGGCTCTGGGTTTGCTTGGTGCAGTTCGCGGGTATCGTCGTTCGCGGGGGGGCGCGACAAGAAAGTGCTGGTCTGCGGGGGGGGGGGGAGGAATCTGCACTGACCTGGAAAAGTAATGCAACTTGAACCGTCTATCAGTCTGGTTTCGTCGCCTCAAGCGCCATTGCCAGGAGCCTTGGTTTCTTGGGTGCAGGACACGAATCCATGGAAGCAGGCCCCCCAGAACAACTTGGGAGTACGAAGGCCTCCTCGGAGCTGCTTCCTTAAAGGCCTCCCAGCTGGGGTCCGAGCAATTGGGGTCAGAAGATCGCGCCGCATCGCCGATGCATTGGCGATACATCGGTGACGTCACCGATGCATCGGCCAAGTCCGCATTGAGAACCTCGGGATCCACTTCGAACCGCTACGGCGTACATCGGCGATGCGGCGCCTCACAGAAGCTGGTCTGCGGGGGGATATCACTGGGATCGGCACGGGGGGGGGGCTAAAGGGATAGCGGGGTATCAGTGGACGCCAAGGTGGGTTATAGCTGGCCTTGCCTAGCTCACAAGTGGCTTACGGGTGCCCAAAATGGCTTAGGGGGGGGGTAGATAACTCCGCTAAGTGGGCGGCGCCTCGCAGGAGCTGGTCTGCGTAAGAATGTCAGGAATCTACGTAGCACACTCCCCCCTCTCTCGCGCCGCGCCCCGCGGGCGCGCCATGGAAGCCCCAGGGAGGGGGGAGAGAGGAGGGAAAGAGGAGGAGAATGAGGAGGAGGAGGAGGAGGAGGAGGGTCACCAAACTATGACCGTAGCCCCCAATTTACAACAACAGCGGCTCCCGCCTGATACTTACTCACGATGTATTCCCAGATCGCGCTCTCGCGCGGGACTTCCTCATGGTGTATACAGGAATCGCGCTCTCGCGTGAGACTTCCTCGCCATTTATTCAGACACTCAGGAATCACGCTCTCGCTTTGGATGACTTGGCGATATATTTCGGAATCGCGCTTTCGCTCGACACTTCCTCGCGATTCATGCAGGACGCACGCTTCAGCAACCCGCCTGCCGCTTGCCCCTTCCTTCCATGAGTCGTCGCTTCCCCTACACTGGGGGCTGCGCGAAATTCACGTTGCAGGTAAGAAAGACATACCCCTACGGGGGCACAACCGAAGACGACGAAGGCGGGTATTCAGAGTTTGGGGCGTACGTGTAAAATAGCCCGCGTGCAATGAGAGCGAACAGTCGACAGTCTTAAAACTATGGTTGTTGTTGTTGCTGCTGCTGTTGTTGTTGTTGTTGCTGCTATTGTTGTTGTTGCTTTTGTTGCTGTCGTCGTCCTCGCCCGCGACCCGCCCGCGACCCACCCCGCGATCCACCCGCGACCCACCCACAGTGCTCTGACGAAACCTCGGCACTTGCGGCGTGCTTGGTGTGCAGCGTGTTGGAACATCGGCGCCTGCGAGCCTCGAGGGCTGCCGACGACCCCGCCGCCCCTATCACTCTTATCCGCATCCGCAACTGCGGGGTGCTACGGCATCGCGTATAAAGCCCCAATCTCAATTTCGCTCCAGCACCCACTGGGCGGTGCCAGGGCTGGCGGCCGCGGAAAAAGGGCGCGCGCCGCGAGTGCGCGGCCGCGCGCGCGCGAAGCGGGCCTCACTACAGTCGGGCTCGCGGCTCCGCACCGGCCGCAGCTGGCTGCGAGGGCGGGGGGGGGAGGCGAGGGGGACGACCCAGACGTCCTCGCGCTCAAGCACAAATCACGTCCGTCAATTTTTCTACCATCTCGTCCTCTGGGGGCCCTGACCCGGCCCTGGCGCCGTCAAAAAGCCACTTCGGATGAGGCGCCGATTCCTGGGAAGAGGTCGAGCCCTCCAAGAGGCACTGTTGCGAAAGGTCTGGGCTGAGTCAACCCAAAGATCCAGGTCCTCGGACCTCGTGTCCACTCCCCAAGGCTGGCTTTCCACCCCGAAACGTTTTTCATGGGCCCGAGGCCCGAAACCAAGAGGCCGAACCCGACGACACACTGGCCGCCCCGATCTTTTCGAGGCGCCTGAACTCAAGCTCTTGACCCCATGGGGCCGGTTTTCTGGTCGTGCTGTCTGGTCCAGGGCCCGCCAGGCAGGCCCTCGTAAATCCAGATTGCCAGAAGAGGTCGGCCGCCCTGATTCTGTCCACGACGAAAGAAATCCCGGAACGAGGAAGACCTGGACTTCAGACGTCGTGGTCGGTGTTTTGTATATATTGTAATACTATATTCTTATGAATATACATCTGTATGTATAGGTTAGCCGGCGTGGGCCCACACCATATCTCTAGCAATTTAACTTGTGCAACGTACCTTGTGCAGTCGATGTGGCATGGTCTGTTGTGGTGCACGAAATTTGGTGCAATCTATGTTGCGCATTCTATTTTGCGCAATACATGTTGCGCACCATGTGTTGCACAATCTATGTTGTGCAAGCGTGGCGCAATATATGTGGTGCAGTCTACGTGGAGCAATCTATGTGTGGTGCAATATTTGTTGTGCAATGTATATGGTGAAATCCATGTGCTATACTCTAGGTTGTGCACTCTATGTGACGCAACGTAGGTTGTGCAGTGCATGTGGTGCTATCCACGTGGTGCAATATACGCCATGCAATATATCCATATAAAAATTTGTGATGCAGTCTGCGTGGCTCAATATTTGCGGTGCAACCTACGTGGCGCAATCTAGGCAACACAATTGATTTTTAACAATGATTTGATCAGTCCAACCCGCTCACGCGCAATTTGATTTGCAAAACCCATGCGGCGGCGATTACGATGACTGCTTAGCACTGGCTGGTGCATGTTTGCGGCCGCGCCAGCCCGCGCGCGCTCGCGCGCACAGCGGCCAGCCAGTTTGGCGCGACCGACGCGGCCGCGGTGGCGATGAACACTCGGCAATTACCACCGGGACTTCAGTGCGAGTCGGTGATTTGGGCGGGCGCGGTATCATGGCGACGGCAACAACGGTAGAAACGATTATGCGAGTAGCGATGATGGTAACAGGCGGCGATGACGACGGCAAGGCCAATGGCGGCGCCGATGTTGATCACGCCCGGCGAAAACGATGACGACGTCCTCGCATCGGCAATGCAGGTTTTTTGAAAGAGTTCGACATGCGCGCGCGGCCGATGCGCGCGAGTGGCCCGCATAGCATTATTTGACACGGATCGTGCCCTCCCCCAGCACGCGCGCACGGGCGTTCGAATGAGCTCGACATGCGGCGCGAAAGGCCCGTTTGGCAGAATTTGATGGAACTGCTGAAAACCGAAAGCGCAAGAACCGCGAGCGCACTATTTGTTTAACTGATGTGGCAAAACCATGTATGATGACAAGTTTTCGAGACACTCGTTGCTGACATCCTTACGAAACCTAAGATGCGCGCGCGACGACGCGCGCGCGCACTTCGTCCCATCTTCTGCAAGGGATTATTGCGACAACACGCGCGCAAAGGCGTTCGAGCGATCTCGACATGCGCGCGTGGGAGGCCTGTTTGGTAGCATATTATGAACATGTTGGAAATCCATGGTTTTGTTAAAAATTCGCAAGAGCGCCGGCGCATGCTCTTGTATAAAAAACCTCGTTGCGGAATCATGTGTAAAACATGTTTTCGTGACGCTCGATGTTGCAATCCTTACGAAACCTGAGCATTGGCCGGTGATGACGCGCGCGTGCGCATTTCGTCCCATCTGTTACAAGGAACCTTTGAAAACTGATGATATGTGATAAACAAGCGAGCTCGCAACATATTTTTCTGCAGAAATGAGGGGGGCGATGGGGCCAGCCCATGGGCAAATTCCAATACGAAAAAGTGGATCGTTAACCCGGGAGGGTGGGGGTAGAGCCTAATTCTAAATTTGGAAAGAAGAAACGGCTTCCGTTCGCAATGAACTGTTAACCCCACTGCTCGCGCAATCATCCCATCCACACACACACACACACACACACACGCGCAAGCTGGCTAGCAAAACCCAGGCGGCGGCGATTGCGATGACTGCTTGGCGCTGGCTGGCACGTCGCTGCGGCCGCGCTACCTCTCGCAGGGTCGCGCGTTAAGCGGCCAAACAGTCTGGCGCGACTGACGCGGCCGTGGTGGCGCTGACCGCTCGGCACTTCTCAGCGCCCGCGTCTCGCAGGCCGCGCTGACGGTCGGGCACTTTAGCTTGAGTCGGTAATTCGGCCGTGCGCGGTATCACGGCGACGCCGACAACGGCAGACACGATGATGATAGTAGCGATGTTTGTGGCGACGAGGACGATGACGACGGCGAGGCCAATGATGGCGCCGACGTTTTTTTACGCCGATGGGCATGGTGTCCATCCACGTGTCGGCGATGAAAGTTCTGGAAAACATTCGGCACGGGGATCGCCCAGCCTCCCCCCAGGGCACGTGCAAGGGCATTCGAATGATTTCGACATTTGTGCGCGGGTGGCCCGTTCGGTCGTATTTGATGAACATGTTGAAAACCGATCGGTAATTCGCAAGAGCGCGAGCGCAGGATGCTATGAACATTCCTGTTGCGAAGCCATAGTTTCTCTATGTGTTCGGGACACTCAGTTTGGAAGTCCCTACGAATCTAAAGCTGTTTAAGGATCTCGGCATGCGCGCGCGACGTCTGCCAAAACATGCTTGTCGCGATTTGTCCGCGACGCGAACGTGTCTGGGCCGCGAACGCTGACCCACGCGCGCCCCGATTGATCAGTGGCGCCTGAGCTCGCCAGGGCGCCCGACCTTTTGCTTAGCGCGTCGCGGCGGCGATCCAGGCGACATGCCACGCCGTGCAATTTAATGGCGTTGCTCACCCCTCCCCGCGGGGCGGGAGGCCACAGAAGGCTCGGGACGCTGATGCCTGGAGACCAGGACGTGTTCAGCGTATACGTCGCGCCGGAGCGCGGTGGGCCAGGACTGGCGGTGCGACGCGCTGAGCCAAAGTTCCTGACCGTATGGATCTCCCCCCGCCCCCAGTTCCCAGGTTCGAACCCCCCTCCCCCTTGAGGGGGTGGCCCCCCTGCCCCCCGGTTCGGCCCGTACCCCCTGCATCGCAGGGGGGGGGCCCCCCGAGTAATCACAACTGGCCTCAAGAGGCCCCCAGAGCAGCGCGGCGGTCTCGAGGGGCGCGGCGCGCCCCACGGGCGGTGCCGGAGGCGGCGCAGGGGTGCTGACACTGCCCAGGGCTTACTCGGGGGGGGACTCTTGAGGCCAGCTGGGGCTCCTCGGGGGGGCCGTAGAGGGCCCAGATGGGGCTGCCTCGGGAGGGGCTCTGTGCGCAGCGCGGAGCCTTAGCCAGAGGCCTCACAGGTGGGGTCGGAGCAGATGGGGTCGGAGGATCGCGCCACATCACGGATGCATCGGCGATTTCGGCGATGCGCCGGCGGCGTTAGCGTGGAACAAATTGGGCTCCACATCGATCCGCATCCCCAACGCATTGGCGATGCGGAGCGATCCTCAGAAGCGATCTGCTTGGACCCTATCTGTGACTACCCACCAGACCACCCCAACGGGTTTGGGGGGGTTGGTGGGGTACATCCGGGTCCCATGTATGTTTCTGAATGTTCCCGAATGCCCCCCCAATGGGAACGGAGGGCAACGTGGGGCCTTCGGGTTCGGTTGCGGTGGTTTGGTGGGTAATGCGTCTGGGGGGCCGAGATTGCCATGGGACGTTAGGCGCCGCCTGGTGGCGGGGCGATACATGAGATAAAAAAAGGAAAGGTGCACCTGTCGGGCCCTACTAAGGGCCCCCTGAGGAGCTCTAAGATGCCTTGCGGAGCCCTAGAAAGGGCCCCTTTTCTGCAGCCCTCGCTGCTCCCTCATTGATCGCCCCACATTGTGCGACGCCCCGGGGACGATTGGCACGGCGCCCTCCGGCCTCCCCAGACCCTCGACGTCAGAACTTTTTCATACCGTCGGCCCCTGGAGGTCTCGACCCATTCCCCATGGACCTTACTTTTCATCCTGAGCCGTTTTTGGACGGTCCCGAGGGCCAGAGAGGGCCCCCAGTGGGCCCCCAGAGGCCGAGAATAGCAAGACAAATCTCGTCATGCTTTTTTCATTGCCCGAGGGCGCCTCCGGCCCCTCGCCGCGGCGCCCGCCACCCCGCGCGGCGTGCCACGCCCCCGCGTCGCGGTCGAGCCGCAGCGCGCCGAGGGCGCCGCGCCCCGCAGGTCGGGCCAGCCGCCCCGAGGGGCCGAGGGGCGACGCCGGAGCCGGCCACACGGAACAGTGACCCTGGTGCGAGGCGGGGAGTTATCCACAGCCACCGCCTGGGAACCGACGTCCTGGTGCCCCCGCGGGCGGTGGACACGGATATGTTTTGGCCCACGGGGGCGCGGAGATGCATCCAGATCCACCGCCCGCCGAGGTCTCCGAAAATGGATCCTCCAGGCGGTGGCCATGTATACATTCCCGCCTCGGACCCAGGCAAGAGCGACCTTGGGTGCGCGGCGCTGGGGTGGCGCTTGCCGGGGGTCCAGACTCGGGCGAGCAAGCAGATGCAGGCCAGTGCTGGGGGATCGCTGTGCCCCTCCCCCAACCTCTCGCTCCCACTCCCCCTCCCCCTCCCCCTCCGAGATTCGGTCTCTTTACAACCAGAACAACCACTTTACAACCAGATGGGTTACTTTACAACCAACATAGGATTGGAAAGTATGGTTTTTCATCGAGAACGTCCACTTTGCAACCAGAACGGTCCACTTTACAACCAAAACGGACCATTTTACAACCAGAACGGGCCACTTTACAACCAGAACAGACCACTTTACAACCAGCTCAGAGTGGCCGTGCGTGTTTGGGCGTTCCGCGCGGACGCTCTGAAAAGTGCTCCAGAGCACGTGGGCGCTCTGGAGCCCGAGCGCCTGAACTCTTTGCGCAGGCCCCAGCGATGCCTCTGAGCCCGAGCGCCTGAACGCCCTGCGCAGGCCCCAGCGATGCCTCTGAGCCCGAGGACCTGGGCGCTCTGCGCAGGCCCCAGCGACGCCTCTGAGCCCGAGGACCTGGACGCTCTGCGCAGGCCCCAGCGATGCCTCTGAGCCCGAGCGCCTGGACGCTCTGGCGCTCTGAGCAGGCCCCAGCGATGCCTCTGAGCCCGAGCGCCTGGACGCTCTGGCGCTCTGAGCCCAGCAGAGTAATACAGGGCTTGCTAGCAGGGGCCAAGCGGCCTCAACAAGGGCCCCGTGCTCGCACGGGAATAAGGCGACAGCATACGTAGGAAGGCCCAGGGCGACGCGCTGCCCATTTTAGGGACCACTCACAGGAAGCGAGCCCAGTGGCCTCCACAAGGGCCCAGCGCTCCAGGGAACTAGGCCATTGGCACCGCGGGTCTCTTGCGCCACGTTGGCCCCTGAAGCCCCACGGTGTTCTGCAAGGGGATCAGTGCTCCAGCTCCAGTTGGCCCCCTGCTGCTCCTCTTCTTGGAAGATCGAGGTTCAACGTTCCGAATCAATGCAACTATTTCGAAGATCGTTCCTTCCAGCGTCAGCCACAGCGCCAGCGCAGCAACGCAGGTATCCTGCTCGGGCAGCAGCCTCAGCCACCGTGCCAGCGCAGCAGCTGGAGCCACCGTGACAGCGCATCACCGCCACCTTTGTGCCTGCTACCACCAAACTTACCGCTGCAGCCCCGCTACCTCCACAATTCCGACTGACCCCCCGCTACCACCGCAAATCCCATTGCAGCCCAGCTACCACCACAGTTCCCACCGCTGCCTGGCGACCACCACAGTTGCCACCGCAGCTTCCCAACGCCATGCAGTTCCCATAGTAGCCCCCGCTACCACCACATCTCCAACTACAGTTTCCCACTGCTATGCAGCTCCAGTCTTGGACGGGATCATGGTCTATTCGTATGCCCTGCGCGACTAGCCTTCGCCCGTCAGAAAAAAAGGCAGAGCAAGCAATGGCAGAACTGACCGACAGAGCTTAGTGAGCAGGTCAAAACCCCAATCCGCCCACCAGCACGCAACATACCATAGCGCACCAGGCCGCCGCATCGCCAACGCGCGCGCAGTGCTTCTTCGTGCGCGATGGGCAACTTTACAACCAACATGCCTCAGAGAGCCCAAAGCCACCCTTGCGCTTGCCCACGGAGATTCCAGGGAAAGGCCCGCGTGCATTCAATATGTGTTTTTACTTGCCTGGTTGTAAAGTGCCCTTCCTGGTTGTAAAGTGCCCTTCTCGGATTTTGTAAGCTGGTTGTAAAGTGACCCATCTGGTTGTAAAGTGCGCTTCTGGTTGTAAAGTGACCCACACGCCTCCCCCTCCCCCCTCCTCCTCCTCCTCCTCCTCCTCCTCCTCCTCCTCCGCCTCCTCCTCCTCCTCCTCCTCCTCCTCCTCCTCCTCCTCCTCCTGTGCGCCCGCACCAAGGTCACTACGGTGAAGGGTCACTCTTGCGCGAAGCCGCCAAAAGAGTACCCCGAAACTGGAAACGCACATGGCTGGACTCACATGTGGAACATCTGGAGGCCACATGCTGAATGCACATGACTGGTTCCGGAAACCTGAAGCCAAAAAACGTTTTCATCTCTCGGGGGCGCATCTTTTACTTCCGCCGGCTTGTGCGGGCCTTCCGCCGGCGAAAGCGGAGGGGGAACGCCAGAACGATAAACCAAGAATCTGGAAACACACACATGGCTGGATTCAAATGTGGAACATGCGGAATTGGAATGGACCGAGGTTTTCGGAGACCGCAGATCGAAAACATCGGTCCATCGGGGGGGTGAAATTCCGAAGGCTCGTTTGTGTGTGAGGGCAAGGAGTAACATGTACACGCAAAAGGCCTCTTCTGAAGAAGGCCAGCGACAAAGCCAAGGGCTTTTCCTGTGTCGCTGGACCGTCTTGTTTAGCACCTGCTTAAGCTGCCGCTTCGGTTCGGCACCAGGGCTGGCCGTGCTTTACCATCGCGTCGCCCAACGCGAGCGGTCGCCGAGAAAGAGCATCGTGCTACGTGTGCGAAGATCTGTATTCTGTGCTGTGTGCCGCTGTCCGTCTATTCAGGTTGCCGCCAGCAGGCCGCCCCATGAAAGAGTCGACCATGTGCAGAGGCGGCTGGGATGGCCAACCAGGGCCAAGGAGCACGAGGGCAGGGGCCGTGCCATCTCCGAGTGACTCTGCCACGTCGATACGGGCATCCTCGACCACCGGTACAGGGGAGACGGCAGCAACGTCCCGTGCGCCTAGCTCAACCAAGACACGTGTGTGGCCATCCAGAAGTACACGCACGGTCGCAACTACGATCATCAACCATGCTATGTGTGCATGACTTCCCACACCCCCTTGCCCTGAGGTCAGACGGCTCGAAAAAGTTAAAGCCTCGTAGGAAATCAAGACCGGAGCCCTAGGCCCCATCTTTTTGGACCATTCTTCGAGCTGGCTCGAACTGAGAGGGTCCCAGGGCCCGAGATCTGACGACAGCGCCTGGCTCGAAAACATCAGGGCGCCAGGATCTCGGGGTGCGCATGTTTCTCGCCCCCCCCACCTCAAAGGCCAGCACGCAGCCGGGAGAGGAGGCACGTAGCCCGCCGAGCCGGGCGGCTGTGCAGCCCCCCCCCCTCGCTCGGACGTCCATTCCCAGTGCCTTTTGTGGTTTCGTGCGTGCTTTTTTAGCAGATGATCTAGGACGTTCCTCGATGGTCCTCGCCGAAGAGAAATGCACACGTCCGAGCGGTGCCAAGCCGCTGGGGGCTCCGCGCGGCCGCTCAGCATGTGCTGTATCTGCGGCCTTCTTCGCTAACTTCGCGTCGAGCCCACGTCAAATCTCCACGAGTCCGCCCCGAATCCCCGCCGAATCCGCGCCGAATCCGCGCCGAGTCCGCGCCGAGCCCGCGGCGCAGACAGGGGGAAGGCCGCAGCTCCCTCTGGGCGGAGACGGCCACACCGAAGGCACGGTGCAGCCCAGCGGCGTCTCGCGAGAGGCGGGCATATCCGTATATGCGCGCCCTCGCAGTGTGGACTCCGGGGAGCGACCCCGCGGATACGCGGTTGCACGGACACGTTCCGCGCGGGGCATCCAGCAAAAAACGCTCCGTATCCGCGGGGCCGCGGACCAAGGACACGTCGCCCGCGAGGCCGCGGATGCGGATACATGACGTGTGTTTCGCCCACGAGCGTCTCCCCTTCCCCCACGGGGCAGGCCAGCCAACCGCGGCGCTGCACAGCAGCGGGTGGTTCGCCAGCACCCGGCGCAGGCGAAGCAGGGGGTCGCCCGCGCGGCAGCCCGCCCAGGCCTGCGGCCAGCGGGAGGACTCGGCCCGGCTGCACTCGGCGAGGCGGAAGTCGGCCAGCTGAGCTCATGCCAGGCTGCACTCGGCCCGGGCCGTGGCCGCATCCAGCCGGGCCGAGCCAGGCCTGGCCGAGGAGTGCAGCCTGGCCGAGCTTTCGTCCTGGCCGAATTTGGTTGAAGGGGCCCTGGGACACACAAATACATACGCACAAATAACAATATTCCCCATGTTTTCCCACATGTTCAGGGTTTTTTTCTTCCCCCCTCTTCCCATATTTTCGCGTACCTTCCTGGGAAGCGACGATGAATTGTGTCTGTGTGTTTTTTTTCCTCCTGATTGCTTGCTGCCTGCGCGCGATGCAGCTCGTCGAACTGGGCGAAGACGAGGAGCGTGGGCGTGCGCCGCGCCACCGCGGTCGCGAACCAGTCGGGCGCGTTCTGGTACAGCGGCGTGTGCCGCACGATGCTCAGCCGCCCGCGGAACCGCGGGGGCAGCAGCGGCAGCGAGCACAGCCTTAAGGGGACCAGCTCGGGGGGGGGAGGGACGGGGAACATCGAGCTCGAATCGGCGATCTATCGCCGATAGGCCCCCGATGGCGAGGTCGCAGGCTCCTGTGTAGGGTGAGCTCTGCCGGACGATTTGCCTATCGGTGCCCCCGATTCGCCCGACGCTGGTGCCGATCGCCTCCGCCTCGCCGCCGACGGAAAAACTGTGTAGGGTGGGCTGGCGAAGCCGCGCGCTCCTACGTGGGGTGGGCTATCAGGTTCCTATCGGTAACGAATAGACGCTCGGGGGTCGATGCGTCTTCCCCTGAGCCAGTCCCCCCCCCCTGCCGTTGCCCCTCAGCCTGGGTGGCGGGATCTTCAGTGGACTCGGTAAAACGACGGGGCGCGTCTTGTGGTTTTGTGGCCACGTGCTTCGGTGGCGCTTTTTCTTGGCTCCTTCGCCGTCTGCTTGTTCTCCAGGTTCCGTCGCCGTGCTTGCTGTATCTCCAATCCGAGATCTGATTCCGGCGCCGTTGTGACTCCGTTTCTGTGCACCGTATCTGCTGCGTCTTCGTCTTCGGCAGCCGGGCGTTCGGAACCGACAGCGGCGCTCTGCCGCTTCCAGGGCCCACCAGGGGCCGGGAAGGGGGAGGCGGCCGCATGCACGGCCACACGGACGCGGCCTGCGCCACTGGGCGGCACACCCCGGGGGGAAGTAAACAGGGGCGGGCCTCCTCAGAAGCTTCGGGAAGTCCCCCCTGGCCTTCTGAGAAGTTTTCGTAAGCCTTCCCCGAGGACGCAAAAAAGACTTCTCGCGAGGCCGGCGGGCTTCTAAGAAGTCCCGGCGCCTGCCGAGAAGGCCGGCTCCTTCTCGCTTCCCCCCCCGCGCCCGCCGCCGAGTCGTGCACCGCGCGGGTGCTGCAGGGTGGGGCAGAAGCGCCCAGAAAATCCAGACTCTAGGGGCACGAAAGGGGAGGATAGCAAAGGCAGAGAATCGGCTCACGGAGCTGATTTTCCCAGCGCCTCCCGGCGCCAGGAGGCGCCCATGTGTCGAGGAATGGGCCTGGCGGCGGGGCCGAAACCAGCTGCATGCAGCAGATTTCTTACCCCCCCATTTTCCCTATCCCCCCCTTGACCGTCCTCCTCCTCCTCCTCCTCCTCCTCCTCCTCCTCCTCCTCCTCCTCATATTCCGATTCCTATGATTATTCCTATTCCTATTCCTATTCCTATTTCTATTCCTATTCCTATTCCTATTCCTATTCCTATTCCTATTCCTATTCCTACTCCTCCTCCTCCTCCTCCTCCTCCTCCTCCTCCTCCTCCTCCTCCTCCTCCTCCTCCTCCTCCTCCTCTCTCCTCCTCCCTGCTGACGGCGCCAGAGCAGGTGAACTGCTGCACACGCACGGCGGCGGCCACGCACGCGCGCCCTGCGGAGGGTGGGCCCCTGGGCGCGATCGGCGTTGGTCGGTGGCTGCGCGTGCCTAAGACCTCCTCGCGTCGTGGGCCAGTTCTCTACCGCAAGACCAAACAGCAACGCGGAGCTAGCTTCAACACTGACTACTCTCTGACTATTTCTGAGCATTCCTCCTGTAGAGGGACAGGCCCGACTGAAGCCCAGACCTCCTCGCGTCGTGGACCACTTTTGTACCGCCGGAAAAAAACAGCAACGCGGAGTTGGCTCTAGGTCTGGCCTGTGCCCCTACAGGCGAATTCTGGACGAAAAATCGAGAATGTACCCCAAAAGTGTTCATAACATATTCAGAAATTGTCAAAAAATCGTCACCAGACTATTTTTAACTATCTTTGAATATCCCTTCTGTGGAGGGACACGCCCGATTGAGCAGCGACCAACCGTCCCGGCATCCCTATAGGCCTACCACGACATGTTCTTAGAACGCAAGTATGTCCCAATAACAAAAACAATGTTCTTGGAACATAAACCCCGTGTGCCAAAACAAGAGAATCCCAGCCAGAAATGTTCTAAGAACATGTGGCGCAGACCACAAAGGGTTATTAGAAAACTATTTGGTGGGCCTATAGGCGGGCAAGGACGCTTCGCCACTGCTGGATTTTCTGCCGCAAGGAAAAAAAAGCAACGCGGAGTTAGCTCGCGCGCGTGCCTGCCGCATCACGAACCAAGCGGAGAGCGATGGCGAAGCAGGTCCGCAGCCCTAGTGGAGAGAGGAGCAAGGCCGCTGCTGCACGATGCAGCGCTGTACCGCCCAATCCAAATCCAAGAACAGAGTCACGACGCGAAGTCTTTCGCCGTGTTCGGCGTCCGGGGACACTGACATGCACACTCGGCAAGAGGGACCCCACAACGAGTACATACGAGGGGTGATCTTACTGCAAGAACTCCAGGGGCAAGTTCGACGTCGGTCGTTGACCTTTCGAAGGTGCTCAAGTCCTTGTGTGGGTCCCAAGGGCCATCGGGGGATCTGAGTTTTCCGTGGGGCACTTGCAGACAAGCTGTTTTTTTTCCTGAGATGTGCTTACCGTGCACGCAAGAATGACCTTTCGTACGGGTTGCCGATCGCTGCGTGTGTTGCGACAGTAGCAGCCTACGTTCTCGGGCTTGGCACCCCCACGCCCCGAAAAGGCTGTGCACCAAAGGACACTCAGGCAAAGCCCAGGATCAGTCAGCACCGAAGCGGGCAATCGGGAAATCGGATCGGCATGCGAGTCGCATCGGGTCGCATCGGCACAGAGCCAAAATCGGCAAGGGTCGGGCGCGCTGGGATGCACACCAGCGCCAGGCGAACATCGGACCCCATCCGGGAAGCCAAAAGGTACCGATACCGATACTCCACGGACCTCTCCTGGGGTGCGTTCTGGCTTCGAGGCGAATCCAGCGGTGGCGACGAGGGCCGCCCAGGAGGCCCAAAAAGGGGAAAACGGGCGGGGGGGTAGAGGTATGGGTACTTTTCCTCCTCTGACCATCGTGTCGTCGGAACGCCGTGACCAAATCCGATCGGGCCTGCCGAAGGCGGCACCGAATCGGGCGCACATTGGGTTGACGTGGCTCCTGGAGGGCCACTCCCTCACGTGCAGCCGAGCGGGCAGACAGGAGGGGGAGGGAGGGCACGCGGAGGCCGAGGAGAGCGAGCACGAGGAGAACGACGACGACGACGACGACAGCGACGACGACGACGACGACGACGACGACCCCAGCCTCGACAGCAGCGGCCCCGGCCTGCTCAGCATGTACCACGGCTCCTCGAGGCACCCGGGGGCTCCTCCTCCTCCTCCGCCTCCTTACCTCGCCGTCTTGGGGGCAACTAGCCACTCCTTTCCTTTCTTCCTTCCTTCCCCCCGCCTACTCAATCTCAATCTGGAACGCCCAGATAACCCGAAATCCTCCAGAACTAACCGATGCGCGATCCAGAACAAAGGCGAGAACAATCCGCACCCTGCCTTTCCAATCTGCCAACCCAAAAGAATCCCTTCTCCTAGTCTCTTCCATCTCGTGCCCTAGAGCACACAGAAGCTCATGGACCCCCTCAGAATCGAAATGTGTCCAAACCCTTCCCGTCGTCTTCAGTCCACCTTCCTCCCAATCCTCCCGCCGTTCTCCTCTTCTGTCAGGCCTCCTTGGCCTGCCCGTCCATCCCTGCTCCTTTTAAACAACTCCTCCCTGTCGCGATCCCAGGCGTGTCGGTAGGGCGGGTCAGGCGTTGCGCCTGGTACTTCCCCACCACGTATGATCCTGAAGCATGAAGAACGCTGAAGTCTCACGAATGGAATGGGCTGGCTTTCAAAATGTAGCTCTCGCCTAAGCGCTGCGCGCATTCGTCTTAAAAATGGGCAACCGCTTCGCGGATGGAGCACCCGGTGTTCTCGAACGTGCGACTAACCGTTAGCGGTGCGCGCATTTTTTGGTTGAAAACTTGCAGCAGCTTCGCGGGTGGAGGGCGGTTTCTTTTCAAAGCGCGATTCCCTTATTAGCGCCGCGCGCGTTCTCTTTCAGAGTTTGCAGCAGCTTCATGGACGGAGGGTGGCTCCTTTTCAAACATGTAGCTGCCGCCGTCGCGCCGCGCACATTCGTCTTAAAACGTTGCAGCAACTTCGCGGTCGGCTCTTTGTCGACATGTGGCTATCGCTGTAGCGCCACGTACACTCGCCTGAAACACGTGCGGCAAGTTCACGGATGACGGGGTGCGTTTCTAAGGTGTGGCTCTCGCCTTGACACCGCGAACTTGAGTCTGAAACGTTCGCGACAGTTTCAGGGATGGGATGGGGGTTGTTTTCAAACTGGTCTTCTCACCTTAGCGCCGCGCACTAGCTTGTCGGATGGAGAGCGGCTCCTTGTTCGAAGTGGGGTTCTCGCCAAAACGCCGCGCACATTCGCGCCAACATCTTGCAACGGCTTCAAGAATTAAGAACTGGTCGCATTCCAAATGGGGGTCTCGACTCAGCGCCGCGCGCCTTCGTTTCAAAAACAACGTTGAAAAGGATGGGGGTGATTACTCTTCTCCAAGGTGGAGCCCTCGCCTGCGAATTCGCAAGTTGAACATCCGAAGCGTTCACCCACGCAGCGGTGCACGGATCTACGGTGGCTCTGTTTCAAAATGGAGCAGCCGCTTGAGGCATCCTCGACGTCAATGACCACAAGTGCAAGCCAGGGCAACGCTTAACTGCGCGAATGGAGGGGCTGCCCGTCTTCGATCTCGCTGAAAACCACGTGAAGCTGGATGGTCATTCCCGTCCGCGTTCCCTTTTGCGCGACGGCGAGATGCAAGGCAATTCCTTTTCACGGCGGGACCCTCGCAACAATGGCAGGCTGGACTGTTCTGGTCGCACAAGGGGGGGCGCAGCTTGTTGTGCAATAAGAAACTTGGAGGGGCGTATGATGAAGAGACATGAGACACGGGAGGGTGTATTGCAGCATCGCTTTATGTATATTTGGTTTACTCTGGTCTTCCCCCTCATCCTCATCATCCTCTCCCTTTTGCCCTGGGCATCCTTCTCCCGAAAAACTTGGCACGCCTGGAACATCCAGGCCACCTCTTTAAACCCATCAGGCGCTCTGAAGCATCTTCCACCGTGCCTGCAGAGAGTGGGCGTGATAGCACCTGGGCCAGCACGAGAACGGAAAGAGCGCTGCGCAAACGTGCCCGAGATAGCTCAAAGCACCGCTCGTTTTGGGGAGTCTTGGTGTTCAGAGCTTTCTACGTGACCGATCGCTCTTTTACTTGGCGTCTCTGGGCCGCCTTAGGGGTCCTTACGGGGCCCTTTTGGACCGTCTTGGGGCCCTCTTGGGGCGACTTGCGGCCCTTTCTGGGCCGTCTTGGGGAGTCTCGGAGGCCTTTGGCCGTCTCGGGGCTTTCTTGGGAGCCTCTCGGGGCCCTCTTGGGGCCCTCCTTGGGGCCCTCTTGGGGCTCTCTTGGGGCCGTTTGGGTGCCCTCTTGGGCCGTCTCGGGGCCCTGTTGGACAGTTTTCGGCACCATTTTGGAGCCTCTGGGGCCGTCTTGGGACGATCTGTGCGGCCTCTTGGGCCGTCTTGGGCCGTTCTGGGCCCGAGAAGGCGAGAACCCGAAAAAACCTTCAAACACCTAAGGAGAATCTGGTCTTGGCCGCCCTCTCGGGGGCCCTCTTGAGGGCCTCTGGAGCCGTCTTGAGGCTCCTCTCTTGGACCGTCTGGAGGCCATCTGAGGCCACCTTAAAACGCTCTTAGGCGGTCTTGGGTTCTCTTCGAGTGCTCTTGGGCCGTCTTGGAGCCCTCTTGGACTCCTCTGGGGGTTTCTTGAGCCCGGGCCGTCTTGGGCGCTTCTTGGGCTGGCTTTGGGGGGGGGCGTGCTTCCCAGAGCTCCCCTCTCTACGCCCCTCCCCTGGACCCCTCCCTGGAGGGCTTCGCCCCGGCAAAACGTCATCACTCGTACCTCGCTCTTTCCGTCACCTCGGCCGGCACGGGAACGGAAAGAACGCTTCAGGAACTTGCCAGGGAGGGCTCATGGCACCGTTCGCTCTTGTGGGAACTTTGACATTAAGAGCTATTTCACGTCACCGGCTCTTTGACGCCTTGGTGCGAAGATCTGTTTCACGCCATCGCTCACTCTTGGGAACCTTGGCGCTAAGAGGTTATTGCGCAACCGTTTGAAGCTGGGAGCCTTGGTTTGCAAAGTTGTTTTGCGTCGCCGTGAATGAAGAGCTGCTCTTCGAAACGTTGGCGTGAAGATCTGTTCACGCTGCCGCTCGCTCTTGGGAACCTTGGCGTCAAGAGCCTTCTGCGCCACTGCTCGCTCTTGGGACCATTTGGCGTTCGAAACTGCTTACGTTACCGTCTCGTGTAAGAGGCTTTCCAGTCACCTGGTACTCTTGGCATCCTTGGCATCAAACCTGCGTCCGTCATGGGGCCGTCCAGGGGGGGGGCCCTTTTGGATGCCTAGGGGCCCTCTTGGGCCATCCCGGGGCCCTATTGGATCGTCTCGGGGGGCTCCGGTCGGCTTGGGGCGCTCATGGGGCCCTCTTGGGAGCCTCCTGTGGCTCCCTTGGGCTCTCGTTGGAGCCTCTGTGGAAACCTCCGTTGGCCGTCCTGGGGCTCTCTGGGGCCGTCTTCAGGCCCTCGTGGGCCGTCTTGAAGCATTCTGGGGGCGTCTCACCAGTGGTCTTCTTCGGATTATCTTAGGTCTCTCTGATGCCGTCTTGGGGGCGCCTTTCGCCGTCGTGGAGGCCATGTGGGCTGACTTGCGACCTCCTGGGCCGAAAAAGCCGCCACCTTGACCCCTGGAGGGCGTGCTAGACCTGGGCCGGCACGGGAACGGAAAGAGCGGGTCCGCGGAGCGGATTTTTCACAGGGTCTCGGGGGTTCGGCGGCCGTTTACGCGGTAGCGATTTGGACATAGGGATTGCCATGCATGCATGTTGGAGCAAACTGGAGTGCGAGTCACGGTAGGACGGCCGCCGTGGCGATCGGAGTTGTTACGTCACCGCCCGCTCCGAGGAGCCTTGGCGGCCAGAGTGTTTGACGGCACGGTTCGCTCTGGTGGGGCCTCGTGCGGGGCTCTTGGTGGCATCTCGGGGTGCCTCTTGGAGACCTATTAAGGGTCTTTTGGGCCATTTGGGGGCCTTCTGGGGCCCTCTTGGACCGTCGAGGGTAGCTCGGGCCGGCGTGGGGCGCTCTCGGGGCCCTCTTGGGAGCCTCCTGTGGCCCCCTTGTGGCTCTCCTGGGGGCCTTTCGGGGCCCTATGGGGTCCTCCTTGGGCCATCTTGGGGCTCTCTTGTGACGTCTTGAAGCGGTATTGGGCCGTCTTGAGGCCCTCTTGGGAACCTCTGCGGACGTTTTGGGGCGACCTCGGAGGCCCCCAGGGGCGTTTTTGGCCGTTGTTGCCCCGAAGAAGCGAGAACGCCAACATCTGCCAAACAAACATAGGAAAATCTACGGTTTCTGCCTCCTGAATCCCTCTTGGACGGCTTCGTGGGGGCCTCTTGGGGCTTCTGGGGGGCTCCGTAGGCCTTCTCGGGGCCATCTTCGCCCCTCTTGGAGCGGGGCCTCTTGGGCGCCTCTTAGGCCGTCTTGGAGATATCTTAAGCCGTCTTGAGGGCCCCTTGGGTGTCTCCTGGACCGTCCTGGGCTGAAGAAATCGCCAACATGGCCCCCGGAAGGCGTGTTAGAAAAAAAGCCAAGTCCAGACCCACCCCCATCGGGGCTAAAGCCCTGCCTATGCAGAACTTCTCTCGCTAGCGCTCTTTCCGTCAAATGTCGGTCCAGCACGGCCCCCCTCGGACTTCCCCATTGGGGCTAAATCCTTGGATAGAACGTGTCTCGCTGGCGCTCTTTCCGTCATGCTCCTCTGTTGTCTGGGAAGGTTTCCAAATGTCTTCTAGGCCGCCCCCCCCTGTACCGCGTCCGCCCCCTCTGAAAAATCCAACCCCTGAATTTGCTCAGCCCTCTTTTCGGCCTCCACACGGCCAAGAATACCTCAAAGATGGCTTCCAAGGCAGTCAAGATGATACCAGGACGGCCCAAGATGGCCTAAGACGGCTCAAGAGGCCCCCAAGACGACCTCAAGACAGCTCAAGAGGCCCGCGAAACGGCCGAAGAGGGCTCCAAGAGGCCCTCCTGGAGCGCCTGAGGAAGCCAAAACCATGGATGCTACCACCACGGTGTTTGAAGGAGTTTGAGGTTCTCGCCTGTTTGGGTTTCCGATAGCCTGAGACGGCTCATGAGGCCTCCAAGAGGACTCCAAGATAGCTCCGAGACAACCCAAGAGGCCCCCAGAGGGCCCCAAGTCGGCCCTCTAGCAGAGCCTGAGGAAGCCCACAGCATCGATACTCCCAGGGTGTTTGAAGGATGCTGAGGCTCTCGCCCGGTTGGGCGTCCGACAGCAAAAGGCCCCAAGAGGGCCCCAGATCGGCCCACGAAAAGGAACCAGAGATCGCCCAGGAGGCTCCCACGAGGGCCCCAAGACGGCCCTGCGGCGCTCCAAGAGGGCACCAAGACGGCCCAGAGAGGCCCCCCAAGAGGGCCTCCGAGGGCGCCAGACGGGCCACGACTTCCCCGAGACGGCCCAAGCAGCCCCGAGAGGCCCTCGGAGGCACCCAAGAGGCCCCCAAGAGCACGACCTGCCGACTGCGTGGACGAAGACGAGACCGAGTGCACGACCCGTTCCAGTTCAGACCAGTCGTCGGACCTGCGCTGTTCCTGCACCCGGCCGCCTTCCTGCTGCGCTGCTGCACAGCCACGTTGGCGGGGTTTGCCGCAGGCAGCTGGATGCCCGAACCTCCTCCTCTCTCTCCTCCCTCCCTCTCCTCCTCCTCAGCCATCCTCCTGCAACCCTCCTGCAATCCTCCTGCGCAAGACATCGATCAACAGAGAGTCTCCGACGAGAAATAAAAGCGAAGCAAACTGCTCAGGACCTCGGAAGTCCTCCTCCTCCTCTTCCGCCTCCTCCGCCTTCTTCTCCTCCTCCTCCTCCTCCTTCTCCTTTACCTGCATTTTCAAAGTTCAAAGTGAAGTGATGATGCCTGTGCAACGCTGGGTACACTGAGCAGATCGAGAGCGAGCGGGAAACAGGCTGGGCGAGGCTCCTCATGAAATGTAGCTGGGATGACTACCACAATCCAGCACGGTCCGCGCGCCTCCACCCTCAGCCACAGCCCAGAGCCCAGGCAGCAAGACGATGGACGAGGGAGGGGGAGGGGTCGCCTGGGTTGCCCTTCTCCACCTCAACATCATCTTCCTCCTCCTCCTCCTCCTCCTCCTCCTCCTCCTCCTCCTCCTCCTCCTCCTCTTGTCTATACCTCCTCTTCTTCCTCCTCCATCTCTTCCTCCTCCCGTCCTTCTTATCCCCCCCTTCCTCCTCCTGGTCCTATTCCTCTTGCACGCCCCCTCCTCATCTTCCTCCTCCTCCTCCTCGCCCTCTTCTTGTACTCCCCATCCTCCTCCTGATTTCAGCGCGTGCCGCGGCTCCTCGAAGCCTGCGGGCGCGACGAGGACCAACCTGTCCACCTCCTCCAGCGAGCGGTGCCGGAAGGGGGACACGACGCACGACTCAAGACGGACGGCGGACGGCATACGGCGCGTGCCGCGCAAAGGACGGCGGACACAACCGACGACCGACGACAACGACCACGATAGACGATAGACGACGACGACGACGCACACGACAACGACGACGACGACGACAACCGACGTAAAGACCGACGACGAAAATGACGGCGAGCGGCGGTCGTCGGCGTGGAGGCTCGCGTAGCGCATCGCCACGGCGCCGCCCAGCGAGCAACCTGCGAGCACCAGCCGGCCGCGCGACCCCGCCCAGCCGGCGCGTTCCAGCAGCCGGCGGAGGCAGCCCACGAGCGTCGTCGCCTTGGTGTCGCCGCCGTCGGCCGTTGGCCGTCGCCGTTGACCCGACCGTCTCCGCCGACGTCGTCGTCGTCGTCGTGGTCGTGGTCGTGGTCCGCTTCGAGGAGTTTCGGCGTCGGCGTCACGGTCGTCGACGACGTCGCCGCCTTCGCCCAGAAGTCGCTTTCGTCGTCCGTGACAGAAGAGGAGAAGCGAGAGGAGGAGGAGGAGGAGGAGGACGAGGAGGAAACGGAGGAGGAGGAGGAGGAGGAGGTGGGAGGGGTAGGAGGAAGGGAGGGGAGGAGAGAAACAGAGGGATGAGGAGGCTTGGGAGAAGGACGGTGGAGGGTGGTTGCATTATGTTGCGCAGCTGTGCGTCAAGAAATCGGAGCATTTCATGTTCGGTCGTTTCGTCTCGTTCCTTGTCGCCCTCTCAACCTGCTACTCGGGTTTCCCCCTATCTCCTTCCTCCTCGAGACGCCTGTCAAGACGGCCTACGAGGGATTCCAAGACTCCCAAGAGGCCTCGAGTGCGACCCAAAAGACCTCAAGATGGGCCTCCAAAGTCCCTAAGAAAACACCAGAGAAAACAACATTTACAAAACTCCGTAATACGTCGCATCTGCTCACGTTTTCCTGCCTGCTGCGGGTGCGCTCCAGATGGCCCTAGGGGCCTCCCTCCAAGAGGGCCCAGGTGGCCGCCACGAGTCCCCGAGAGCGCCCAGACGCCTCTCAAAGGGGTCAATTCCCGAAGCAAGCCGCACTACATCTCAAAAGCGCCCCACGACCGCACACAAACGGCCCAACACGCGCCCAAACAGCCCCCAAGCTCTCCGAATCGACCCGCACAGGCCAGCATGGCCCCCGAGATGGCCCCAACGGAGCCCGAGCCCAAGGCCGCCCACGGCGAACAGCGCAGCTTCAAGCCTTCCGAGCCGACAGGGGAACCCAAACCGACCCGAACCGACAGGCCACAGCAGCAGCCCAGACAGGCGCGGCGGCGCAGCGACAGCACAGCGCCTGACCGAACCGAGCCGAGCGAACGCAACCGACCGCGACGCAGCCGAACCAACCGAACCCTGGGCACCTATGAAGATGGCCCAGAGACGGCCCCATGATGGGCCCATGGTGGGGGCCCCGCTACTCCTCATGCTCTTCCTTATCTTCCTTCTGGCCCTCGCCGCTCGCACGTGCAAGGGGCAGGGCACGAGTGCCATGTGCTGATTTTCGATATCTCGGTCCACCGAAAAAAAAAGGTCAGTCGCTAGTGGCACCGTAGGGAGAGGATGAGCCCACGCCGCTGAGGAGTTCCCAGCTCCCGCCACATTAAGGACCGAGTGAGGCGGGGCCACTCAGAGCCTCGCCAACGGGGGCGGCCTGCTCCCCATAGGTGAAGCCGTCGCCCGTGACAGCACGGACGGCGACGGCGTTGCCGCCAAGGTCATCGAATTTCTTGGGGCCATGCTGGCTGCACCAATGTCCACGAGGACCTCCTGAGCCCCAGTCGGACTAGCAGTGCCATCAGCTTCGGCTTCGGCCTTCGCCGGCACCATCACATCTGGTCCATCATGTCGGCGTCAGCGGGAGAGTCAAGCTCGTCCGTGCTGCCGACCAGCATCAAGAGCCCCGCACATTTGTCTCGGATCAGCCAAGGCTGCAATCAGATGGTGAACGTGCAATTCTGTGCCGTTGGTAAGCTGCCATGACCCGAGAAGTGAGGAAAGGCAAGACCGCCAGCGTCACCACCATTGCCGCCGCCCACACTCGCATGCCCAGAAGAAAATGCTCCAGCAGGGCCCGCGGCAGCCTGGGGGGGGGGGCAACACCCAGCTGAGTATCCTCCGCAAATGGACCGCCAGACTGCTCTGCACAAGAAGCGTTGAGGTCGACAGTGGTAGTTGCATCAACCCCAGCAAAACTCACAACATCGTCATAAACGAGCTGCTCTGATCCCCTGGGGTCAACGTGGCCGTGTAAGCCAGGATACCTACAAGGTGGACCACGGAGCTCAGGTACAAGTGGCGTCGGAAGCGGAAGAAGGAATGAGACCGTGAGAGCGTACCCGTCAGCAGCCTCATGCGGAACGTCATCGACTGGAACGAAATCAGGAGACGCTGCGCCACTAGATCCAAATACCCGAACCGAGGGTTTACCATCTTCCGTGCAGATCGGTCCCAGAACGTGTGGTGCTGATACGCCTGGACCTTGAACTTGAAGTAGCGGAGCTGGAACAATTGAGCTGCCCGCTGGCCACGGCACCGCACTCTCAGTACCTGTTGCTGTGTCAGCCGGCCTCAAACAGTTGAAGCATCAGCAGCAGGGCGGGGAAGAGCGAGCCCGCTCGCAGTGCGCCTGAGAAAACAAGCACGGAGACCGAATGGCACTCTCGATTGTTATAGGGCCAAAGCGAAGCTAGCAATCTGAGCCAGTGCATTATGCCGTGCCACCCCGAATCACAGGAGGGCCCATGTCAGGCAGCTCCGCGCCAAGATGACGACGCAATTGCTCTCGAGAGCTGGCTGATGGATACCAAGCTGTCAGGCAAATGTATTCTGCCACACGCCTGCGTCTGCCGTCACCACGTCCCGACGCATCTCCCACCAGTGGCGTGAGTTGCTGATCGTGCAAGACCCCAGAGAAGTAGTCAACACACCAGCCTAACCACGGGTGAAACATGTTGTCGACCTGATCTGCATAGGAAACTGATGAGAGCATTGTGTTTGCCCATGCGGTGGCGCGGTCCATGAGCTCCCTCCGTGACCGCTCAGCTCTCCGAGTGTGGTCGTCTAGACCTGAGCCTCTCACGGCTTTGAGGAACTGATCGGCCAATGCGTGAAGGGGCCAAGGGGCCTCCGACTCGGCACCGCGGAAACCATTATTAAGGTGCCGTCATCTGAGCTCGACTCCGCTTCGGCGGACACGGCCGTGAGCGAGGCGACCCAGTCATTACTCGAGACCTCGATCGGCTGTTCGGGTTCAGGAGGATTGCCACCATCTGCCGCATTAGTATTGGTAGGAGGTTGAAGCCCAGGATGTGGAGGTCTCGATGACGTAGGCCAGCGTGCCCATTCAGAGTAGTGCAATTTCAAGCTTGTCAAAACACCCGCTTATTTCACATCCCCGACATCATGTCACAAAATTGGGCCGGTGTCAAGCTCAACAGGGATCTCAGGGGGAGGAGGAGGAGGAGGAGGATGAGGAGGAGGAGGAGGAGGTGGAGGAGGAGGAGCAAAAACGAGGACAATGGGGAACCATACACCCAGATTTGCCCCCCCTTGGGGGTCCTGAGTCCCCCCAAAAACCCAGGACGGGCCAAGAGTGTCTGAAGAGGCCCCCAAGACTATCCATCAGGGCCCCGCAGCGTCGAACGATGTCCAAGACGCCTCCCCCGCTTCCTGACGACCCATGAGGCCTGCCAAACGCCCCAAGAGGACTCCAAAGACGGCCCCCAGAGGCACAATCCATGAAATGCCCTTCGGAGATTGAAAGATTTGGGCGTTCTCGCCTCTTCCGCTGCCCGACGCTCCAAGACCGCCCAAGAGGCGCCCCAAGACGGCACAAAGTCATCTTAGAGGTTCCTAACATGGCCCCAGAGGGCCTCAAGACGGACCGAGACGCCTCCAAGACACAGGCCAAGAGGCACCCAAGACGGCTCCAAGAGGGTGTCCAGACGGGGGACCCGAACGGACATCTCGAGCTCTCGCTCCCGAGAAGCTCTCAGGAGGCCCCAGGATGCCTCGAAGACGCCCCCAAGAAGCCCTTAGGAAGCCCCCGGAGACCCCCAAGAGGCTCCCCAAGAGTCTCCCAAAACGCCCCAAAACTGCCCACCAGAGGCCCCCGAAAGAGCTCCGAAGAGACCCCGACAAACATCTCCTCCTCCCCCTGCTCCTCACCATCCTCCTCATGTTTTTCCGCCTCGTCTTCATCGTCCTCCACCTGCTCATTGCCCTTCTCGACCTCCTTCTGCCCCAACTCCTCCTCCTCCTCCTCCTCCTCCTCCTCCTCCTCCTCCTCCTCCTCCTCCTCATCCTTCGTATGCTCTTCCTCCTCCTCCCCCTCCTGCTCCACGGCGTCCTCCTCCTCCTCCTCACCTTTTCCCTCCTCCTCCTCCATCTCCTCCTCCTCCTCCTTCTTCTCCTCCTCATTCCCCTCCTTCGCATCCTAGTCCTCCTCATCCTCCTCCTCCTCCTCCTCCTCATCATCATCATCATCAGCATCAGCATCAGCATCAGCATCAGCATCAACTTCAGCTTCAGCTTCAGCTTCAGCAACAACATCATCATCATCATCATCATCATCATCATCATCAGCATCATCATCATCATCATCAGCATCAGCATCAGCATCAGCATCATCATCATCATTCATCGTCATCATCATCATCAGCATCATCAGCATCAGCATCACCACCATCATCTTCATCCTCCTGATCAACCTCCTCATCATGCTCCCCCCCTCCCCTGCCTGTTCTTCCCCCGGTGATCCGCAACCTTACCTCGATCTTGTCCTTCCCATACTCCTCCTTCTGCTCATCCTGCCCTTCCTCCTCCCCCTCCTCCGCGTCCTCATTCTTCTCCTGCTCCTCCGACTCCCATTCTCCTCGTCCTCCTACTGCCCCTTACCCCCCGTCCTCCCCCTACCCCTGCTTCCAATCCTCATCCTCCTCCGCGCATTCCTTCTCCCCCTCCTGCTGCTCCCCCGCGTCCTCCGCCTCCTCCTCTTCCTCCTGGTCCTCCTCCCCGTCATCCTCCTCTTCCTTGTCCTCGTCCTCGTCGCCTTCAGGATCGGCGGCACCGGCCGCAAGGCCTTCACAAGAAATGGAGGAGAAGGAGGAGGAGGAGGACGAGGAAGAGGAAGAGTAAAAACGACGTCAATGGAGAACCCCAGTGTAAAGAACGCACGCGGTCTGGGGGTCGAAGGAAAAGGAGGAGGTTCGTCAGGGGGGAGGAGGGAACAGAGATGAGAGAGAAGGACTGACGAATGAGGAGGAAGGGGAGAAGAGAACAGCGAGGAGGAGCGAGGGAGGAAGAGGGGGGAGAAAGGACGAGGAGTGAAACGGCAAGAGTCAAAGGTGGAGGCGGTCGCCCTGCTCTGCCGACTCCGCAGTCCCACTTCCTCACAGACGCCCCCGTGCCGCACCCCAGACGTGTCGCTAGAGCGGGCCAGCCATCTCGCCTGAGACCCCCTCACAGTGCATGATCCTGGAGCTTGACACTCGCAACAGCTGCACGGATGGAGGGGGGGGTCCAAACGGAGCTCTCGCCAAAGCGCCGCGCACAGTCGCCCTGAAAGCCTGCAGCAGCTACAGGAATGGAGGGGCGGCGGCTTTCAACATGCGACTCTCGCCCTGGCGCGAACATTCGTACTGAAAGCTTGCAACGGCTGCGAGGAAGGGGCCCTTTTCCAAATGGGGCCCTTGCCTTAGCGTCACGAGAATTTGTCTTAAACGCTCACATTCTACAAGGATTGGAGGGGATAGGATCCTTTTTCACACAGGGGCTCTCGCTGCGTATTCCCTTCAAACTAACTGCCAGAAGCCATGTGTGTAAATTTGCGCATCATTCACAAGGATAGGGGGGGGGTCTTCCCCATCCTGGGGCTATCGCTGGAACAATCGCTGATCTCTCTGATCCTACCTTGTCGGACTGCAGCTCCGTTTCAAAACGAGGCCCTCGCCCGAATAGCAGGCTCATAAGGTGTCCGCCTTTCAAGTGGGTTCTTCTTGTGGTGAAACGGAAGGCTGGCACGTAGGAATTGATGAGGTAGTGACTTGGGACAGAAGCGTGTACTGCAGCATGTTGATGCATCCTCCCTTTACTCTGGTTTTCTTCCTCCTCCTCCTCCTCCCCATCATTTCCTATCATTCCTCCCTCATCTCTCCTCACTTCCCGCCTCAACCTCATCCTGTCACTCATTCTTCCTCGCCTTCTCCGTCCAGAAGGGGACGAGAAAGAGGTCGAGGAGGAGCAGGGGTTGAAGGAGAAGCAGAGGACCTCTGAAAGTGCGACGACGTCCACGACGTCACTACGTTCACGACGGCGACGGCGACGGCGACGACGGGCCGAGTCGTCAACACGACGGCGGCGGCGACCACGACGGCGACGACAGGCGTCGACGACGACGACCGGCGCAGACGACGGCGATGGGCGGCGACGACGAGCGGCGACGACAACACGGCGACGACGACGACGACGACGACGACGACGACGACGACGACGACGACGACGACGACGAGCGGCGACAACGAGCGGCGCCGACGGGCGGCGTCGCCGAGAGCGCGGTGGGGTCGGCGGGGGCCGGCGACCGGCCGTGCGCCGGCCAGTCGAGGAGCAGGCAGTCGTGGCCGTGGCGCGCCCGCACCCGGTGAGCCGTGGTCAGCCACGACGCGTGATCCTGAGGCGGCCAGGGAAGAGTGCCAGGAGCAGGAGTCAGTACCGCGGTCGCCAACCTTCCCTCGTTTCGGCCTCGTGGGGCCTGCTTCGGGGGGCCCTGGTCGCCACGGCTGGATGCGCCCCATGATTCTGGTCAGAGAGCTCTCCGGGAGAGGTCCGAGGAGCAGCGCATCGATACCCTGCCAACCCCCTGACGAACCCGGATCTCCGACGAGGTGGCTGTCTTAAGAATTGTTTTCGGCTTGACTTGTCCAGCCCCCCCTGGACTGTGACAAAAATCACGACGGGAGGTTGTTCGCAATTTTCGGGCTCCGGAGGCCCTTCCCTGGCCTCGGGCCGTCAAATGACGACTCAGGATGAAAAGCGTGTCGCCGGGCTGGACTTCTGGAGGTCACGCCATGGAAAAAGCACGACGTCGGGGGGTCTGGGTACGCTTCCACAGACTGGCCTGCCGACCAGCGCACCAAACGTCTCGCAGACCCAAACGTCTCCCCACTCGAAGATCTCCCACGCAGGGGATATTACATAGCCAACCTCCTCCTCCTCCTCCTCCTCCTCCTCTTCTTCCTCCCTCCTCCTCCCTGCTCCTCCTCCTCCTCCTCTTCCTCCTCATCCTCCTCTTCCTCCCTCCTCCTCCCTGCTCCTCCTCCTCCTCCTCGTCCTGGGGGATGGCGCCCGATCTCAACCACGAGCTCCATCCCAGCTGCATGGCACCGACCGCAAATTCTGTCAGCACCTCAGCAGGGTTGCGCTCCGACCCATTCGGGGGTGGCTGCCATTGGTGCCAACGGGTGCCCGAAAAGACCGAAGTGGCTGCAGTCGGCCCTGCCTGGGGAACGAGCAAGAATCGACACGTCAGGTTCGTGTCGTGCCGACTTCGGCGTTGGTTTCTGACACCACGGGGATCGTTCAGCCTTGAACGATCGGCCGTTCTCGAAACGTCCAAATCGTTCCACATCGAACGATTCTGGGTCGCCCGCGGCGTTCAACGTTGAACGCCGCTGGCGGGGTCGCAGCTGGTCGACACGACACGAACCTACCGTAGTGCTGCTCCCTGGACCTCTCCCGGGGTGCGGTCCGACGGAAGAATTTCCGGCCGTGGCGACGAAGACTCCCCAGGACCAGCAGCGGCATTGGCATCCTGTCCTCCTCTGAGCTTCCAGACATCCCACGACATGTCTATTTCAACCCGCAGGGCTCCCGACCCCTGCCCCAGAGGTAATTCCTCACCCCGGGTCAGTCTTTGATAGGCCCAGGGCCCGATGCTGGGCCCCAAAGGCCGAGATCGAGAAAAAAACGCTGGACTTCCACAGCCAGCTCGTTGGAGATCCCAGACCCCCAGCGTCATGATTTTTCATGACGTCGACCCCGGAGGTCTGGACCGATTCCCCGGGACCGGAGTTTCATCCCGAGTCGTTCTTTGACGGTCCCGAGGTGCAGTAATTAGGGGCTCAGAGGCTGGAAAAAGTAGAAAACTTCGCGTCGCTATTTTTTCATGGCTCGAGGGGGTCTGGGTTCTAGAATGTTCTCGAATTCCAGACCCCCGACGCGATGGTTGTTTCATGATGTGGACCCTCGGCGATCTCGACTCATTTCCCAGCACTGGTGTTTCATCCCGAGTCGTTTCTGTTGACGGTGCCGGGGCCAAGTATATAATAAGGACCCCCAGAGACCGAAAATTGCGAAAAACCGTCCATCGTAATTTTTCTTCGACTCGAGGCCGCAAAATGACGAACGAAAATCCCGTCGCGCTTGTTTTCGCGACGCGGTGAGGGCCCCTGGAGGCTGAAGATAGCGAGAAACCGTCCGTCGTGATTGGTCCACGACTCGAAAAGGGTTGTCTGGGACGGTCCCAGACCCTGTTCGAGTCGTGGGGGAGGAAAGGGGCGCCCCCCCGCCAGACCGCGGCCACGACTGCGGCGGCCCCCTGGATGGGGTCGAAGGCTTCGACCCGGCGACCCCATCCAGGGGGTAGAAAGGAGAAGGGAGCAAGGAGGAGGACGACGACGGAAAGTAAATTTCCAGCGGTTCGCAAATATGACAAATAATTGCGATTCGGGCTGGCGCGCTTTCTTCGAGGCATTTTAAGCCCGACCCCTACTGAATTCACGAACTCCTCCCTACTGTGTCAACACCGTGCCCTCTGTGCTCCCTCCTACACAAATGCCTCACAACCGAAGAACTGGGACCCCGTCCGCTCCGAGCCTGCAGCCAGCCGTGCAGGAACACCACCTGGCGCCGCTCGCCCGGCGGCACCCACGACGCTGCCTCCGGGCAGTCCCTCGCCCGCAGCAGCAGCGAGAACAGCCGCGCGTCGGCGTCCTCCGCGCCCTGCGCGGGCGCGGCCGGCATCGTCGCCCGACCTCGCAGCAGGGCTCACCCCTGTCAGTATTCCTCCTCCTCCTCCTCCTCCTCCTCCTCCTCCTCCTCCTCCTCCTCCTCCTCCTCCTCCTCCTCCTCCTCCTCCTCTCCTGAGATCCTGGCACCTCGATTTGTCCGAGCCGGGCGTGTTCGTCAGGTCTCGGGCCCTGGGGCCCTCACAGCTCGACCCAGCTCGGAAAATGAGGAGAACAGTCATAGTCTCGGGAGGAATTGGCTGCATGGGAGGATGAAGGGCATGAACAACAGCATCTGGATGCAATGAACGATACCTTCGGCCGCCTGCGGGTAGGGATATCCTCATTTCTCCCAACCCCTTCCTGAAAGAATGGAGCAGAAGGATGGTGATTTTTGCTGCGGTGCTTCAACTTCTTCGCGCCGTCGGATCTCAGGGAGGGCTCAGGACTCGCCGAGGGCGACCGCGGGGAACGCCCGCGCCATGCGAGCACAGACACGACGGGAAATGTTGTCGGCTGGTCTCGACCTCCGGGGGCCTTCGCGCCCAGGGACCGTCAGAAGACGCCTCGGGACGAAAATCCGGCCCTGGGCCCAGACCTCCTCGCTATTTCTGGGTTCCTGAGGCCCTTCCTGGGCCTCGGGACCGTCAAAAAACTGGTCCCTGGGTAGGGGTCCAGAATTCTTGGGGTCACAACGTCGGGGGTCTGGGGAGAAGGGGTCTTCGCGAGACCCCGTAGTGAAAAAATCCAGATACGACCGGACCTGGCACAGACGAGCGTCCTTCGAGAACATGAGACCCTCCGCCGACCAAACTGAAGACCATTCGAGGGACAATGACATCCACGATTTATAAGGGCATCATACAAATTCGAAGAGCATCAGGGCACCCTCCCCGAACCGACCTCGATCTGATACCTCGGCCCGACCGAAATTAACCCTCATGTCTGGGATGTCCTCCGACATGCTGCAACAAGCATTTCGTTTCGGGCGATCCCTGCCCGAGAACGCGAGGGTGGGGAAACAAACAGGTACTGACACCGTCACTCCCCGAACCTCTCTCGGGGTGCGTTCTGACCAGGATTTCGACGCGCATCCAGTGGTGGTGACGAGGGCCGCCCAGGAGGCCCAAAGAAGAGGAAACGAGCGAGAGGGTCGAGGTATGTGCACGTTTTCCTCTTCTGAAAAGCATGCATTTTGCTTCGGGCGATCCCCGCCCGAGAACGCGAGGCGGGCCCCCTCCCCAGGGGAGCAGCGGCCACCCCCCATCACCCCCCCGGGGCCTGGCGGCCGCGGCATATGCAGCCGCCACATGCGTCGAGGCCGCGAGGCCGGGGATCCTCCCAGGCATCGCCGTGCCCCACTGGGGCTCGGCGGCCGCGGAGTGCATGCTGCGGGGCGGGAGGAGGAGGGGGAGGAGGGGGGGGAGGAGGAGGAGGAGGAGGAGGAGGAGGAGGAGGAGGAGGAGGAGGAGGAGGAGGAGGAGGAGGAGGAGGAGGAGGAGGAGGAGGAGGAGGAGGAAGAGGAGGAGATGGAAGGAGGGATGAGGAGGAGACGAGCGTAAAAGAAGTCCTCGATCCTCGCCTACCTCTGGGGCGCCGCGGGCGAGACGCTCCTGGCCTCTGCGCCTCGGAGCTCTCGGCGAGCGCTGCGGTGAGGGTGCACTTGGGCAGCGCCAACACGTTGAGCAGCCGTTTTTATATTCGCATCCGAAGGAGAATAGGGAAGGGAGCAAGCAGCCGCAACGGCAGCGGGGCTCCGAGCGACGGAAGAGGAAGATGAGGTAGCCGTCGGGGCGGCGGCCAACGGCCGCGCCAGATAAATTCTTTCAATCATTGTTTCAGTAAGAGGCTGAGGCGGGCGTGGCGACACAGACGGGCAGGAGGGCAAGACGGAGCTGGCCGCACCGAAGGGCGTGGGGTGGGAGACGGCGGGGGGCGGCACAGGGGCAGCGATAGGGACGGTGGAAAAGATGAGGCGGCGACGCAGTGGGCGGGGCAGGGCGGGGAAGGAAGGACACCACAGGGAGGCATCACGGCGCGCCAATGATGTAGACCGAGCGGCCGTCGTCGAAGGCGTCCGCGACGAGGTCGGCGCAATCGAAGTCCACCCACCAGATGGAACCGCCACCGCAGGATGTCGATCGGCTAGTGGCGACGTCGAGCCCGAACACGACATCGGGACTTGCGATCTAACGCCCTTGGACAGAAGTCCAGTGTCTCGGCAAAGCATGGGTGGCGACGGCGAGCCCGAACACGACAACGGGACTTGCGCTCTAACGCCGACAGCTCGGAGATCCTCTCCGAGGAGGCTCCTACATGGCGACGTGATGCCCGAGCACGACAACGGGACTTGCGCTCGAACACCAGATCCCGCCAGGGGAAGGGCGAGGCGCCCGACGAAAGGCGACGCGGAGCCCGAACACGACAACGGGACTTGCGATCTAACACCATGAGGTGGCGACGAGGGCAGGGACGAGCCAGTCGCACACGTCACTGGCGTAGCCAGCGTCGCAGAAGCGCTGCGCGAAATAGGAGTCGACAGTGAAATTGGCGACGGCGGCGTCACAGAAGCACCGCGCGAAATAGACGACGGCAACGCGAACGAATATCCAGGAGTCGCCCTCTGCGGCGCGCCCGCAGACATTGGTGAAGGTGGCGAGGCTGGCGAGGATGAGGCCGCAGGCCCTGTCGGGTAGCCACATGCCGACGACCCAGCGCGAGAGTGTGGGAGGGCAGCTCCACCTGAATGCACACCCTGTGTATGAGCCAAAATGCTGCCAGATACTGCTGCAAGCGCCTCGCCATCCATCTCTCGTTTCCAGCCACCATCTGCAGCTCCGAGACCAGACGAAGTGGGATGCGCAGGGTCGGAGCATGAGGGATCATGGGAGCGTCGGGGCGTCAGCGGCCAGGGAGCAGGAGAAGGGCCGTCAGACGGGGGGGCAGAGGCACCTGAGGTCATGCTGGCGTCAGACGTCGAGGACGGCGAGGAGGAACGCATAGCCACCTGAGGTTGCAGGTGGCGCCGGGCTAGGACCGCGGGCGGGGGTTCCCATCGTCGAAGGCGGTCGGAGGGACGAGCAAGTCTCAGGGAGCGGATCGCAGCACTCACATATCCACGCAACTGCCCTGGCGTGGAGACAGGCGTGCCCTGGCGCACAAGATTGTACGTCTGGCACATGACATACATGTTCTCAAGATGAACATGATGAGGGAGAGTAAGACACCAACGCTCAGCTAGAGGTCTAGGCATGGGACGCTGCATACCACGGCCAACCGCATTATATAGGATAGGGCACCGAGCATAATGCTGTAGTCTGTCAGGCCTTTGACACCCGAATCTGCACTTGAGCTTCCCTAGAATACGATATGAAGTCAACCACCGATTCCCCCAAGTGCGCAACGCAGACATGGCCCAGCTCTGAGGGACCAGCCGAAGGAGTTCTTGGATAGCTGACCAGTGAATCTGATCCAGACAAGGACGGTAGCCAACAAAGAGCGGGGTGAGGTTGCGGATGAGCATAGCTTGAAGCTGCCTGTGTGCACACATCGCCGGCCCGAGAGAGCGAGCCGCAGCACGCTGAAGCCGCGGACGACGCGAGGTGACCACGCTCTCCTCCTGGATAGCTAAGCGAGCATCCACAAGAAGGGGTTCCTGAGAGCACACCTGGATATGTTCGAGATGCTCGGAAAACGCAGGTGAGCGCCAGAAAGCGGGGTGCACGCGCGTGCGGTCCAGGGCGCCGAGAGCAACCTCATCATACTTCCCATCCAGAACCTCCTGGTGCCATGTCGTCGCTGTCCGTCGAAGCAAACTCAGGTACGCTTCATAGCCCTGGAATGTGTGCATGGCAGCACGTAGGTGAGCAGCCGTTGCTGAAGCAGACCAGGATGGGATCAGGGGCCCTCCCCAGTCCGGTATTTCCAGGATCGACTCGTTAGAGAAGAGACCCAAGGGAGCACGTAGTATTTGGGCAAGCGCACCACGTTCAATGGGCAAGAACCAGCCCGGCATGGGGAGAAACTGGGCGACGTAAGCGAGGCAAGGGTAAACCCGAGTGAGATAAAGGATGCAATTGGCGCTAACCGACGCGACCCCACGGCCCAGCATCCGAGACCGAGATCGGGCTTTCTGGAAAGGGCCGTCCTAGTTAAGCTCCACAGTGGCATCAGGACCCAAGATCATCCCAAGATAAAGTAGCCAACCCTCGATAGTAAAGCCAGCCCAAGCCCCTGCGGTCGAGGCGAGCTGCGTCTTAGTCATGGTCCTCAAGGTGTCCGTCATGTTGGCGACGAGGGGGGCCAGGGCGCACATGCTGATCTTAATCTTGAGGCCCGCCAGCTTCTCCATGACCCCAAGGACCCGAACCAGAATCCGTAAAGAGGCCATCTCATAGAGGACAGCGCCAAGGTCATCCGCACACACACGACATATTCCCTGGGAGCGGCGCTCCACGTTGCGTTCTAAATCGGCTAGCATTGGGGAGGAGGCGAGGGCGCACAGAGATCCCGAGAGCCCACGCCCTTGGATAATGCCCGAACGGATCCAACAAATGGTAGCGCATTGCCGCCCATCGTTAACCGCCCCTTCAATAGCCGCATACATCCACGTAACAAAGGCCATGATCTCCACAGGGAGACCCAAGGACCCCAAGAGCAGGAGCAGGAAGGACTGGGACAGGCTCGGGAAGGCCTGCCCGTAATCGAAGCCAGCGAGGATGGGTGATCGACGCTCGGCGAGAGGATGCTGGGGGGCGAGGCGGGCATGCACGTCCAGCTCTAAAAAATTGTAACAAAAAATGCGTCCACGAATAAAGCCTCGCTGGGAAGCGGCGGCCACAGCTTGCACAACAGGCTCTGGGATCCGATGCATGACCGAGCTCAGGATTTTGACGTCCGTATTCCTCAACCCCAAGACACGGATTTTGTCGGGGGCACGAGAGCAAGTCCCCGATGGCTGATCATCCGCATCGGAGACTTTCGGGAGGAAGGCCTGGAGGTGACGCTGGCGGAGGCGAACAGAGATT